AGGAGAAAGACGCCAGACCACTGCACACACACACCGCCATCAGAAGGGCTCCTGTAACAGACACACACACACACACACAGAGAGACAGACAGACAGACAGACAGACAGACACAGACACACACACACACAGACAGACAGACAGACAGACACAGACACACACACACACACACACACACACACACACACACACACACACACACACACACACACACACACACACACACACACACACAACACACACAGACACACAGACACACACACACACACACACACACACACACACACACACACACACACACACACACACACACACACATTATATTCTTGTAAATGATAGTATGACTTATTGTAGCGTTATATATCAGTTAACTATATGATGTTATTCCGGTACCAGGTGCGTGCGGCTGGCAGTAATCCCTCAGGTCGTCGAGGCTGTCACATCCCGTCTCCGTGGAAACGCCGCTGTCCCGCCCCCCGCTGTGGCTGACCAATAGAAGGCGGGGCTCCGGGATCCGGCGGGCGCGAGCACCAATAGGACGCTTCCCATCGACCCTCACTGCCACGTTAGTGACGGAGCCGCCGTGCTCGAAGGCGATGGGCGGCGTGTCGCTCCACCCACCTGGCGTTCAGAGGAGGGTCATTACTGAGCAACACGTATATGATATATACAAAATACATTTTATATACTAACATTTTTCTGGAGATTTTCTTCTTAACTCTGTAGAAAACAGTTTGTACAGGACATCTTTGCAGCATGATCACAATGTTCAATATACCATTTTTGCATAATATTGCGTCACCTCAAAAATCAGAAACAAGGTTACATTTTGAGAAAAAAAGGGACATTTTTTTCATGAAAAGTCAAAATGTTACAACTAAAAAGAAAACAGCAAAACAACTGAGAGACTAAACTGTGTCCTGTAAAGTCTCAAAATATGACTTTTTCTCAAAAATCTAATTCTGCAGCTCTAAAATTGTACGATTACAACAAAAAAAGAAAACATCAAAACCACTGAGAGACAAGGTGCTGGAAATTAAAAAATAATATTAATTATTGTTCCTCACCTGCCAGGTCCAGTCTGGCCGGACACTCCACTTCCTGCCACTCCCCGAGGGGCGGGGCTTCCCCCTGGCCAATGGAGATGAACCTCTGCGATGACATCACGGCGCGGCGCAGCAGCACCTGTCCGGCGCCCTCGTAGTGACGAGCGGCCCGAACCAGGAGGTCCGGTCTGAGAAGATATTACAATTCAATATATAAATAATATATCTGAGAAGAAAGTGCCGGTCAAATGTGTGAAAAATGAGTCCATCAAGGCGTGCAGATTTAGGTTGTTTTGAAACACATGTATATTCTTTACTTTTTTAATGCTATTTTATTTGTATTTGAGATGTTTACATTTTGGATTGTTTATTTCTAGTCTTTTAATTTCTCTATTGTACAATGCCTTGTCTTTTTATGCTGCTGCAACGCAAACATTTCACAATCAATAAATCAATAAAGTACTTCTGATCTGATCTTAATGTACCTCACCTGCTCAGCCAATGATCTCTCTGCGCTGCCAGTGCTTTGACCCCGCCCCTCAGGTCCCCCTCCTCCAATAGGGAGTAGGCGTGGCTCCAGGCCTCGTTGGCTGCAGGTCCGCTCCTCAGGCCCCCCAGCCCCCCCGCCATGATCACCAACACATCAGCGATACATGAGAGGCATCGAGCCGCCACGCCAAGCCCCGCCCACAACACTGACTCCGCCCCCAACGCTGCGTCTGACTCCGCCCCCAACCCTGGCTCCGCCCCCTGCTCACTGCTGCCTGCTGCAACTGAGAAGAAGAAAAACAGGAAGTAAGGTAAGGCACGTTTATTTATAAAGCACATTTTCAGACATGTTGTGATCATGTTTCCCCTCAACATATATGTGACATGTATGTGACATGTATGTGACATGTATGTAGTCATGCTTGTTGTTTGCATTCATCCTTTCGCCTCTTTCTACTTGTCTTTCATCCTTTCTTTATAACTAATGCTGTTGATGTATTGTGATTTTAAAAGGTGTTTATTATCATCTGGACAACAGCTGGAAACGAGCCATATCGGCTAAAGCTGCCTCATTTACTGTTTGTTGTGACAGTTGATCAATGGGTCCCTCCCCTTCCGGTGGACCTCCATGGGACCTTATTTAGGAAAAATTATGTATTGAAGTCAATGGAGAGAGAAAGATTATCTTTCCATCCCGTTTGAATTGTGCCACGAATTACACATATGATGTTTGTCAATTTAAAAGATAATTTTGCAAGTCAAAAAAATAAAAATGTGTCGTAAAACTGTGAAGTAACACATTAGTTTGTGTGAAACGCTGAATGAGCTACATCTCTGGTCTCACAGAACAACACACGTCATCAAGATGGCCGTCACTACTGTCTTGTCAACAGAACGATTGACTACCCTCACTATCACCACAATGAAACACGTCCAGAAGAATGTCATGCAAAGCTGCCTGCCTTCCTTTGATTCTCTCTGAACTGCCTGGTCTTTTTAATGTTTAATGTCAACCATTTGTGCAGATAGCATGAAGTAGAAAAGATCGCAGATGCTAATGTAGCGTTAGCATCCCCCCCCCGGTTTAAATGGTGTATTATTGAATGATCACAGCGGTGTGACAGTACTCTTCAAAGGGTTCACGAAATATGACTACTACTCTTACTGTTTAAAATGTTGGGTTACTTAATGTTACT